CCCCAAAACCCCAAAACCCCAAAACCCCAAAACCCCTTTCAGATTCTATAGGAGATAAATTATGAAATAAATGATTTTTATAAAAAGATTATAGCATAATTATTATAATTAAGGAATGAGAAATCATTTAAGCGAAGGAGAAAAGATAAACTTATCGAACTCTCAAAATTTAGGTTATTCATAGATCGGCTAGAATCACGAAACAATTTATGGACATCGAACGATACCACTAAATTCTAATACCTTTATCAACCTTTAGCCGAGCTAGAATTAGCAGCAGCACATTACACCTATTATAGATGTGACTAATTTCATAGAAACCAGCAGGGGTAAAAGTTTGAAGTATCAATAGATTTTAGCCTTCTCAATACTCTACTTTTCTCATCTTATAGTGAATGTACAAAGAGAATTCTGGGTTATTGGGAAAAATGCGATTTAAGATTCGCTTGACCTTGAGAAATTCCAATTTGGATACTTTGATGGAGCTAGTCTTTCAGCCTAGTTCATTGGATCTATGGTAATGTGTCGACTCAGTGATAAATATTGCAAGAGAAAAATTCTCACCATAGTGTATATCGTGCTAATACTCTCTTATATTTTGATATTTCTAGGAGGGTATTTGGAGATCACAAACATAGGCTATTACTTCTTCGTTTTTGTATTCAATGGCTGGGCTAAAGCACTTATGTTCCCTTGCGTTATTTCCATTCTATCAGAGTGGTTTTCTCGAAAACATCGGGGATTGATATTTGGTTTCTTTATGACTAGCATAAGTTTTGGATACTTAGCCGCAATTTGGATAAGCTAAACACTGAGCTCAATCATGTGGTATTGGATTATATTATTTAACTCAGGTATTGCTATGCTAATGGCCCTACTAATATTTTTTTGTCTCAAGCCAGACCCTATAAATGTTGGTTATGTGATAGATGAGTTCACAGATAAAGAACGTAAATTTTAAAAAATGTTGAAGAAAGCCAAAAGATCTTATTCATCAGATCAGTCAATTTCACCATCTTAAGAAACTGTATTTTATAGAGTATAAACAGAAAGCAATTACAACAGTGTAATTATCAGTTCAGAATAATAATCCCCCTTAACTTTGGTTAAACTTCTCAAGCATCCTTAAATTGCAGCTTATTCAGGAGTGATATTTCTTTCCAGAACTGGCTCTATTGCTTTGTTTTATTACTTATCAGATTTTTTCGACTCTTAAGAGGACTTGGTAAAGATTAATAGCAGTCAATATTTTTCAATTAGTTTAAATGTCGGTACAATCCTTGGTGGAATATTTATTGGCTATATTTCTGATTTACTCTATTCCAAAAGATCACCTGTAATTTTAGTAGCGATTATTATCTCTACCATTATAAATATCGTGATAATATTTGAATATCATAAAATTGGAAACGCCTTCTTTGCTGTAATGCTTTTACTTGGATTTCTCATTAATGGATTCTCTAATCTTATATACTCTAATTGTTCCACTGACATTGGCAAATCACTAGATATATAATTTAGTTAAGGCAAGGTTTTAGCCACTACTGTATGCATTATTGAATCATTTGGAGCTCTTGGATCATCAATAGGAATATTTTTAATTGGCTAAACGTCAAGATTGGATATATGGGGATACAAATACGGGTATTGGGTAATTATCACAGTCTTCATAGCTGTCAGCATTATACCATTGAGCTTCGTATTTTAGAGAGAATTCATTGAAATACGTTTGATTATTAAGAATAGAAGAAGGATTTGAATAAGAAAATGGTTTGATAAGCCTCAAATGGCATAAAAATTTTATGAGACATTGTCTTAGAATAGAAAAAGCATTGAAATATCGAATAATAATAAAGTGAAACAATATTTATTTGTATTTAAATAGCATTGCCAAATATGAATAATAAAGTTCAATATTTCAAGTGGGGTTTTGGGGTTTTGGGGTTTTGGGG